AAAAACAACCCCAATCTACGAATGTTTAGAATGGAAGTATCGTGCTTCTTACGCTTGACATAAATCCTGCATCACCAATCTTAGATAATTTCCCAAACTTAAAAGTCAGGTGTAAAACGTAGCTTGTTTTCGCTTATAATCAACTGTGCGTGTGTGTGTTTCGAGTATTAATGAAAAATACAGTTGTGATGGCAGAATATCTAACTTACTTTCATCGGAAATTGTCGTCGAGGAGGACTTGCTTGAGACGACTTTCTTCCTGGAGTTTATTGGCTAGCAGTAACAAAACACAGTCGGCCTGTGGAGGAAAAGGGCCTAGTTGGTATGCTCTGGTTCATCACCTTTTGAAACGGGGCAACATTCCTTCAAAAATGTTTTTACGTGACAACAGATGGGCAGGAATTCAATATATAGCAAAGCACACCAGGCTAGCCGGTGCGATCATGCGTTTTGTGCAATTCAGCCTATCGAGCGATTGCCTATTAATGATTTTCACTGCTTTGTACTTTAGTCTACGCAAAAATAGTTCAGACACTGGAAAATAGCTAGAAATTTCACGCACTATCGCATAAAAGCTGAATTCGAAACCTTGAAGAGTGAATATCTTTCCGTGATTCCCGAGTTAATAGTTTATCCGCCAAAATTTTCACGAGGTCGTAGGTGATACTCAAGAGCTCGGGAACGTCGAATTTGAATGGGCAAGGTTGAGCGTAGGCAGGGGGTCATTACCCTAAAATTTCAGCTTCAAGACCTCGTGGTTCCCGAGATATTAATTTGCCCGTAAAAAACTTTCACAGGGCCGTATGAGTTGCCAGCGGGTACGGGAAGGTTGAAAATTTGTAGTGTCACCCGCTGGCGGGGGACCCTGTACCAAAATTTCAGCCGTTTAGCTTTTGTGGTATGGGACACACACACACACACACACACACACATACACATAAACACGCACACAGACAACCCCGTGTCAGTATGCGTTTTGTACTGCTGTTACGCAACACAAAACGCACAAAAAGAAAAACAGACAATAGGCTTTGTCGAACATGATAGGCAGCAGCTGAAAGCAGGAAACCAATGTTAAGAACGGAAGCTGAGTTCCTCCACAATCGCCGACAACATAATGCCCCTTACACCTGATGATCCTCGCGAACTTTAGATAAGGAAGGTGTGTAGGACTATGCGAATGTATGTGTGTGTGCATATGTGTATAAGAGCGTGTGCGTGGTAGCGCGTGTGCGTGTGTCTTTTCACATTTCCAAAATTACTATACACTATAGCAATCGTCGCGTTGTTTGCACTGGTATCGACTGTTAGGCATACGGTATTCGGGAATGAGACTGTAATGAGGGCAAAAATTAATGCTAGCACCGGTTTTCTGGCACGCGCCATTATTTCACAGCATGCATCGCTATTTTAAGAAGCTGTTTTACCAAAGCCAAAATCCGCATCAATCCAGGCAACTACATCGGCTAATGACTGTTTGTTGCGAAGTCGTGGCCATGCGAGATATGTTGCTTTGATGGATCTTGACGAAATTGCTGTCACTTACACGGACCGAACGGTGCTTGAAATGGTCGAAAGGATGCACAATGTGTCGAAAAATCTGGTTGCTTTTATATTTCGCAGCAGTTTCGCGCACTATAAAGTAAGCTTTTCAAAACTGTTTCTTGAGCGTTTCTCTTTTTTTTTTTTTTTGCTTGTAACATGCAAATAAACGTTTTGATGGTAAAAAAAAATTTTATGAGATCGGCTAGTGCTGTATTATGAAGTAAGTCGAGAAAATAAATGAGAAGTCTTCATAATTTACAAGAAATTGATGGCGTTCGATTAATGTAAAAAGGCTGGGAGCTTGTGGTGATGTGGGTTCGGTGTCCGAGGTGCAGGAGTGAGCGGTACTGAAGCTGGTCAGACTAGGAG